AGGCTTTGGCGCGCTGTAGTAGGTGCAGAGAGACTGGCCATAACTCGCGTACGTGCAAGAAAGATACTCTAGGTACTGCTTAATCTATTATGTTAATATGTAGTAAAACAACTATATTGTGGTGGAACTACAGGCTTATAGAGGTGCGCAGGTTTGGTGGGGTGCGGCGCTCGCTTGCCTGCGGCGCTCGCTTGCCACATACGTTATATATAATTAGAATAACCTTACCAACTCCATACTACGATTCTCCCACACACACACACACACACAGACCAAGCTCGCTCGCCCACACATCCCAGCCCCTGCAAAGCTCACTGCAAAACCCTATATCCCCCGGATATCAAAAGGTATAATCCATGCACGCAATATACATCTTGCTGGGGGGGGGGGGGGGTTTGCCTTGAAGCCACATTCAAAGCACTAAATCGCTTAATATCAATATCTTCCAAGTAAGTACTGCTATTGCCCGACTATTGTTAGTGCTACATACATATTGTCATGCTGTGTTAGCTGAATACATATTGTGCTATTCCATCCATTGGCTATACAGCACACGCATCGGGAGAAGAGGCATGTCACTTGTGGAAATGAAGAAGAAAGAAAAAAAAGAAAGAAAGAAAGAAAAGAGAGAATTGGTATGGTGTTGATATTGTGTCCTTCGGATTCGGCTATGTGGGCTGGGCCGTGTTTCTGTTTCTGTTTCCCTCATACAATACACACCCAATCAGTCTTTATCGAATGCATGCATGCATGCATGCATACATAGACACAGACATAGCAGCGCCAATGTATACCCAGAGAACAGGAAATGCATCCAGCAGGAATGGAGAGAAAAAAAAGCCCCGAAAAAAAAACGAACGTTGAACCCTTCCTCATTGGTAAAGACAGAAAAGGAACCCACCCCTCTTCAAAGCTGAAAAAAAAACAGAACGCCTAGGCTATGCGAACAAAGCAAAAAAGAAGAACAAAAAGAACTTGGCTTTGCAAGACCATGTCTATCAATGCTTTGACCACGGCCATCCCGCCTCCCAACCCACCCAATGGACCACCTTTCCCCCGCCCTCCCTTTGAGTTTTGCTTCCCCGAGGCGTAAATGCACGAATTCATCAGCGCCGAGATGTCAAAACGCCTGGCGCCATATGCATGTTTGGACAGCATGAAGCAACAAGAGAAGAAAAGAAAAAAAAAGGGAACAAGATGCACACCATGGAAAATGAGGAAGACGCTGGCTCCTTGTGAGAAAGAAAAAAAAGAAGAAAAACAAAAAGGGGGTGGGAGGGGGCGACCAAACTGAAAGTCCTTTTAAACACCGGTCCAGCCCCTTCGTCTTCTGACTTGTGCCAGGTATCCGCAATCACTCGCGCCACCATCCTCTCTACGTGGGGCGTCAAGTTCAGCAATGGCGGCCTTCTAATCCGCAGCTCCTTTTCGCACCGGGGTACTCATCTCCCCGCCGCTCGTCTCCCTTCTACGTCTTACAATCTGGAGTCGCGGAAGGGGCGGTGCAGCGCTCGGTGGTGGTGGTGTCGGCGCACCATTGGTTGTGGCATCGTTTTCACCTACCACGCTTTGCCGTCTCCTAATTACAGCCTCGCTGAGGCGGCCCTGTCGTGCTTTGGGAAGGCGAGAATTGGATTTGGAGTTTGCGTTATTAGCGTTATTGGCTTCTATACGAGCGAGCGACGTCGCAGCGTCGCGTGAGGGTGGACGCGACGGTGTACGGGCCGCATTTGGCGTGCCCGCACTACTTTGGAGAGCTGCAAAAGATGTGGAGCTGCGTACTAGAGAAGGTGTTTTAGAACGGCCTGATGAAGGAGGGAGGTCTGTCGTGGGGTCTTCGGCGAGATCCCACATGGTTGTTGAGGATTGGGAGCGCCCGATACGATCGCGGCCACTCCCAAGCGATGTTGGTGTGCCACTCATGGGTGGCAGCATAAATGTATTCTTGAGAGAATTGGGTGTAGGTGGCGTTAAGCCCATGCCGCTACCAATCAAGGTAGATCCTGAGCTTGAACCTGAGCCATCGCGCCGGCCAGCTGACGAAGCTGGACGCCGTAGGTTCAGGCCTGCAGTGGAAGCGCGACTAACGCTCCGCTTGCCATTGGAACCCTTGTTGATACCCGAAAGCTCTACTTCATCGCAGGCTCGGATAAGCTCTTCGGCCATCTGTCGCACCAGGACAGCAGAGTCGTGTTCCATGAGCCAGGTGATGCGCTCATAGCATCCGAAGGCCCGTACTAGCCAGCACCCTTCGTCCTTTGCATCACAAATTGTCCGCAGGATACGAAGGAAGTTCAGACGCGTTACAGCATCCTTGTGTCCAAGTTTCTGTTCAGTCCGGCTGAAAATCTCTGGGACGGCGAGCGACGCAGCGATAGGTGGCGACAGGCGGACGACTTTTTGTAGAGGCTCGAGCATATTCTCAAAGGTGGAGTGCGGCAAATCAGCCGAGGTGTAGGCGGAGATGATGGCAGCCGTGAAGCTCGATTGGGGTGAAAGGAGGTATTGCTCGACACGAGCCGTCTCTTCCTGGAGCCTGGATACTTGTTAGCACGTCGATCAATAATAACTGGGATGGTACGCACCAAACAAAAATAGCATCCAAAGCAGTTACTGCCCAGTTGCGGTCGCCCAGTAGTGAAACATAGAACGCGAGACCCTTGGCATCCCAAAGCATCTTACGCGCCACCTTGCCAGAGTTGACCATTTCAAGCAGCACCGGCAGAGCAAACTCCTTGAGCGGACCACCCTCACGCACGACGTCCTTGAGCAGCGGAATAATGTCCGACAGCGCAGCCTCCTCCTGCCTGCTCTTGTTGTGTCGACATAAGTTATACATGGTGTTGAGAATCTGGTTCGAGATTTCACGGTGGAAAGGTGGTAAGCGTTTGGGATCAGATGTAGACCTGTTTTGGCTGCGGCTCAGTGAGTCCCTTGACCTTGTGGATTTGAGTAGTTCGATCAGGATGTCGATTGCATTGGAATTTTGGAGGGCTTCGTGGGTCGACGAAAGCGAGCTGAGGTTTTTGATGAACTTGAGCATAGTAATTTGGTGCGGCGGAGCCATTTTGCGGAGGTCTTTGAGAACGCCTGTACGGTGTTAGTGTTCTGTCTGCCACAACAAAGCAAGAATCTCTCAGCTGAGTGACCCTAGACCCATTGTCAAAGTTATCAACCAGGTGACTTACGCTTCAAGATCATTCGATCCGCCACGAGATCCTTGACGTGACTCTCTGCCTGTGAAAAGATGAGGAAGATTTGCACAATCCTACCCACAATGAGGCGCGCGACCTCTCCGTCTTCCTCGACCATGCGGTTCAAGACCAGGCTGAGCGGATACAGCACGCTTGATCTTGAGAATATGCGGCAAAAGTCGTTCTTCGGTGTGGGTCCCTGCAATTCAAACACACCAAACACGCCATTGACACCAATGAGCACGAGGTCACGCTCGGCGTCAATGTCCTCTTCCAAGAATTCAACAAGCACGTTGATGCCACCACATCCAATGAACATCTGAAGCGTCAAGGTACTTGTCTGGTACATCTGTCGCACGAATGCTGCAGCTTCTTTCCGAATGTCACTAGGGAACTTTTTCGAAGCAAAGTAGCAGATGGTTGGGATTCCTCCAAGGAAAGACAAGCTCTCTTGTGACTCGGCATCCTCCAGGATGATGAGGTTGATGATCTTCAGAAGTGGCAGCACTACCTCGTTGTGCGGCCTGGTCCCAAGAATTTCCAAAATAGGCAGCATGCCATGGCTCCGCAGAATGATGGACCGCTTGTCTGGCGATTCATGCAGAACTTGTAGCAGTTGGTCTGCAATTTCAAGTAGCTCGTCGTCTGGCTGACTGGTCTTCAAGCAGCCGACAAGCCCTTCCGTCATCTTTGTCAGTCGATCGTCTCGGTCGCGCGCAACATTATTTTCCAGGTTGATGTTGTCTAGACCCTCATCGAGGTTCGCAAACGGGTCCAGGTCATCTTCGTCGGCAATGGTGAATGAGCTTGCCATTTTCGATGTGAGCATGGCAAGACTACTGTGTTCGCTTCCGCTGTCGCTTTCTGCTCGAACGGGATTAGCGAGGTGACCTTTGATATCGCCAAATACGTCAGAGAAATCATCTCTATCGTCCTCGGCATATTTTTGAATTTCAATCTGAGACTGCGTCCGGTGCAACTTGCGATTCGAGGTCGAACTCGCTGATCGCTGATGAAAGGATCCATTTGCCTTCAAATCTCGTGTTGATTTTGGGCCTGCTTTTAAATCGTTTGGATGGAACAACCGGGGCGAGAAGTTGTCAGACGGCGAGTTGTTGGCAGCAGCTATTTGCTTGGGCTGCATAGCTGGTGGCTGAGCGTACTGCATGGCTGCCAGTTTGCGCTCAAAGGCGCCTTCATCAGCCGGCATAAGATCTGAGTAATCCTCGATTGTGTCTTCACGAAACAATTGGCTAGGTCGCGCTGGAGCAGCGGTCCTCGGCCTCGAAGGCTGCATGGACCTTGGGTTTGCACGAAGAAACGCTGTTCTTGGTTGTAAATCATGCCTCTCCTCATACTCTGAATCAGTAGCGCTAGATACCGACGTGGACGACCGACTGGCGCTGCTAGATTTGCCGTTTGCTCTTTCATTTGCTCTCTGGCCGGACGCTTTTGAAGCACCCTGGTACTGTTGCATGCTCTTCGGACTCTTAACCGTGGCCTCACCATCTCCATAATCAGTCATCTCGGCTACCGACTCAAAGCTGGCAAAGGCCTTGAGCCTGTCGCCGGAGAAAAGACCACCAAAGTTGTCCTGGGGCTTGAGGTGAGGCATCTGCAGGGCACGGGGCGATATGCTTTCGGCAAAGTCCTTGTCCCAATTGTCATCGTGATCCAACTCTGGCGAGCGGAACGATTCTGCGCTAGGTCTGTGCTTGGATATGTTGAGGTTTACATTGACGGCTGGCCTGCGGGACGCAGCGCCGGGGCCGGGTGACGACTTTTGCCCACCGTGAACAAGGCGGGAACTTCTGCGCAGAGAGTTGGGCGACTTCAATGCTTCATTCCACTCCTGCACAGACTTGACTGCTTCTTGATATTCTGTAGGCTTTGTGGGTACGGCAGGGACAGTGCGCTTCGCGCTAAGAATCCATGGGTGCTTCAATAGGCGTTTCGCGGAGATACGAAGAGTGGGGTTCTTCTGGAAACATTCCATGAGAAACTCACGCAGGAGCTGCACGGGTCAGCACATGGTGTTGAAGGAGGCGGGCGCTTGCAAAAGGGTCTACTCACTGGAGAAGCACTGCCGGGAATGGGCGGATGCTCGTCGTTGACAATTCTGAAAAGGGCCTGCATGGGTTGTAGCTTATGATACGGCGGCTTGCCCTCTATCAGCTCGATGACAGTACATCCCAAACTCCAAATGTCTGACGAGGTGGTGGCGCCAGAAAGCTCAATGACCTCTGGGGCCATCCAGTAGGGCGTGCCCACGACGCTCGACTGGTCGAGACCCGACTGTTTTGTGGCCACACCAAAGTCTGCCAGTTTGACCAAGCCCTCTTTTGTTGTCAGGATGTTGGCACCCTTGATATCGCGATGTATGACACCCTGCTCGTGCAGGTAGAGGAGGCCGTGGAGGACCTGGGACATGTACAGGGCGACGAGGTTCTCGGGGAATTTGCCAAAGTTCTTGCAGATGCTGTGCAACGAGCCATTCTCGCAGTACCTGGGAGCGGTTAGTAATTTGCCCTGTTCCGGACGCTTGCGCGCGGGCTCGACTCACTCGAGAATAATGTACAGGCTTTCTGAGCTCCTCACGAAACCGTGGTACTTGACAATGTTGGGGTGGTTGAGGTTCTTGAGCAGGTCGATTTCCATCTCCATGTTCTTGAGGTCGGCGGCGCCCAGGTTCTCGAGGCGGACCTGCTTGATGGCGACCGTCTCGCCGGTGCCCCAATTGAGGGCGCGGTAGACGCTGCCGAATGCGCCCTTGCCCAGGCAGTCGCCCAGCTGGTAGTCCTTGAGGCCGGCGACATCTTGGGCGGCTTTTTGGGCGGTGCCCTCTCTGCTGGGGCGCTGGTCGCGGTCGCGGTCACGGTCGCGGTCGCGGGGGTGGCCATTGTGGTGGGACGACGACGACGACGACTTTTTCGAGTGGCCTCCGGGCGTGTTTGACGAGGGTTGCGATGGGCGCGAGTTGGAGGGCGCGTGCGAGGGTTTGGGTGGAGCATGTGAGACCATATTGACTTTTGCAGCCCTGGTCGCCGGCCCAGCAGCTCCAGGCAGCCGTTTCTTAAGTCCGCGTCAGGTCCGTCTGCGGCCTGGCGCAGGCCGATTGTGGTGTCGGCGGAGTCGAGGGCGAGGGCGAAGGTTGAGCAGCAGCGGCGGCGGCGGCGGTGTGTGGCTTGCTGCTGTGTGCATGTCCTCGAATCGCAGCGGCGGCAGAAACAACGGCAGCAGAAGAGCGCAGCAGCGGCGGCAACAGCAGCGAAGACAACAGGCGCACCGGCGGCGGGATTGGCATCAATGAGCCGACAGTTGTTGTTGTTGCTTGCCCATGCGCGACCCGGCTTAGGCTGTTGGCGGGGTCCGTCTCACGCCCTGGCTGTGAAATAGCAATTATCACTCGGGGGATCCTGGCTGCATGCACGCCAGCGCTTCGACAGTGGCGCCCACGACTATCGGGCGTCGTTAGGCTGCGTGCGAAGGCGAGGGGGCGCGAGGCATCGTCGGGCGACGAGGGCGCGGGCGAAGAGAGCCGAGAGGGGAGAGTGGGCGACTGCGAGAATGCAGAATGCAGAATGCAGAATGCAGAATGGCGTGCAGCGGTCAGTCACTCAGCCAGCCCGTCCATCCGTCAAGTCAGTCAAGGCCGTGTGCTCGTCGGGCGCTGGCCACTCAGTCGTGGGCATTTGGCTGCTAGTACCTGCCGACCGCCCCCAACAGCCAGCAGCTGCCCTCTATCTAATCACTCACTTACTCATCCACTCACTCACCCACTCACCCACTCACTCACTCACTCATCCTCGCCTGCATCTCGTCTGCTCTCGTCTCTTCTCATGCCTCTCATCGCCCCATCGCCTCTCATCGCCATTCATCGCCATTCATCGGCCTCCCCCGTCCGATGACCTCACTCCCGTGTGCACTGGGCCATGCCACGCTCTCGTCGGCCCTTCTTGCCCCCAATGCCGCCCGTTGCTTTTTCCTCTACACTCTCTCCTGATTTCCTTTTTCCCTCTCTGCAGGGCGCACAACCCTGCTCGCGCGTCTTCACGTGCGCCCAACTGCCCATGTGCAGCCAGGTACCGGGTGCGCGCTGCCTTTCCAACCTGCCATGCCCTCGGCACGCCACCCGCTCGTCTTGTGCCAACAGCGTCATACCCAGCTATTATCCGCTATCGCCCTGAACCGAAATTACCTTATCGCGGGGAATGTGGGGAAGCATGTGTAGCTTTGGCCACCCCGTCCACGGAGCCTGCGCCCGACACGAGCTCCGTGCCATCAGCAGCTTACGCACCCGGCACCCAATAATGCACAAATCTACTTTTCCATTGCAAGCCTGCTTAGTAGTCGCCTCGCCCATGGTTTGTACCCTAGTGTAATCCCAACCGCGCCATACTCCCCTCACAGCCCCCCGTCACTGCTTACGAGCTCACAACATTGAGCACACCACCGTCAACCGCCAGAATCTGCCCATTGACATACGAGTTCTTGGTCAGGAAGATGACCGCCTGCGCCATCTCCGCGTCGCTGCCCGCCCGTCCGTGTGGGACATGGCCCTTCTCCTGGATCTTCTCGTCTGGCAGATCGCTCTTCTGGTGCTCGTCACTCTCCTTGGCCGTCATCTCAGAGGGGAAATACCCAGGCGCAATGCTGTTCACGCGGATGCGGAGCTTCTGGAACTCGGCCGACATGAGCTTGCTCAAGTGCACCGTACCGCCCTTGGCCGCGTTGTAGCTGAAGTGGCCCTGTGCATCTTTCATGATGCCCGACATGGAGCTGATAACAATGACTGACGCAGAGAGGTGGCCATGTGTTTCGGTGCCAGCTTGCAACAGCGGCAATAGGACAACCGTCGAGAAGTACACGGCAGTCACATCGGTGTTGTATGTCTCGGCCCAGCCCTCAAACGTCTCGTTGTCAAACAGCTTCTTCTTCATGTCAGTCGCCTTTTCCGCGTCCGGGATTCCCTTCTCGCCAGAAACGCCAGCCGAGGCGATGAACAGGTTGATGTACTTCTCCTTGGATGCCAGCTCCTGGTACATGCGCTCCAGGTCGTCCTTTTTGGTCACGTCGCACGGTGAGAGAGGTATAATCTCGCCACCCTGGTCGGGGTTGTGTGACTTGGCAGCAGTCTCGAGAGCTAATTGTCAAGGAAGAGGTTAGTTTGGAATTGCGCATTCTAGCCAGGGTTTCCTTACCTTCCTTGCGACGGCCGGTAATGTATACCTTTACTCACTTGTCAGACATGCACTATAGCATTACCATTGCTACATACCTTGGCGCCGTTTGCTGCGAGTGCCTGGGCAGCCATCAATCCGATCCCAGACCCGCCTCCACTGATCACGCAAACATAGTCTTTGACAGAAAAGAGCTTCTCAACGTGGAGGTCACCTGTGCTGGCTTTGGGAGGCATGGTGAAGAATTGTCGTGGATTCTTGTGATTTTGTGGATTGAAAAGACAATTGCAAAGTCCGCGGGCAGGTTTAAAGGCTGGGAGGAAGAAGAAGAGCCTGGCTTGACGCGAAATGGCAAAGTAGTTCGGGTAGGTGTTTTCGATTTATGACGTACCTGTGTAAACAGCCCACCAGCTCAATTAGGCTTAGGGCAATGGCACAGCAGATGTGGACTTGATTTACGTAAGCAGAGCAGTCCTACTTACATAATCACGGGCTGCGCATCAATCTGCACAGATTTCATTGGACGCTCAAAGAAATTGCAAGCCAATAATACATGCGCAGGCTGTCGCGCTAGCTTGGCAGGCCCTGGCTAACGAGTACTAGCAATCCCGGTGTTGGAATCATGGCTGAAGTCGTGTGGCTGATGCTCTTTCCGTATTCGGCTACGAAGATACTGCATCTCAGCCTGGGGCTGTCCTCTCTGAACCATCCCTCTTTTCCTCCACCGCGCTTTTGACGCTTGGGCGGTTTCTGTTTCTAGTTTGGTTTGGTTTGTCTTTCCATCTCTTTCTGCACGGTTGTACCCGCCTTTAGAGTGCTTGCCAGCCTCAGACTACAACCCGTTGCCGATCGCTAGGCACCATCGCTGCCTGGCATACCTACGCTCAACTTCATACACTACCATGTGCGAGTCTTAATCGCCAAGTAACGGAAATACACAAACTATCGCTATATCTGCACAAAAAGGTTGTTCATGGACATCCTGCTCATGATAGAACACCATGGAACTTGAGACGCTTCCAATCTCACATGAATGGGACGCCCCTTCCGTGACTGGCAAGAGCTTTCCAGATCGAATATGGCCCGAGCCATTAGATACCCCTGGCTATGTCCCACATCATCTCAAGCGTGCTGCATCAGGCCAATTTCCAATCTTGGAGCTCATCCAGCGCGTGCTGTACCGCCTCAAGCCCAGCGGGGTGGGTGAGGTCGAGAAACTACTTGCTCTGATCGGTCTTTATCAGACACTGCGCCCAGTCTACACACACATCAAGGACTTTTGCATATGGGCGCTCACTGTACAAGTTACTGTACCCGAAAGCGACCCCGTCGCAAAAGAAATACTCGCTTGGATAGGCTCAGAAGTCATCACGAACAGCCATTCACGAAACGCTATGCTAGTCACCAGTAGCATGCAAGATGCAAACGATGATTTCCATCGTCGTATGATCATGCCTCCTCCTCCAGGCGTAGCCATGGACAAGAGGGACGATGGAGTCTTGTGCCTCCCGCCGATTGGTACACGATTATTCTGGGTCGGCTTTCGCCCTTTCGTCTTCTCGCGCAGGGGCGGAAACAGCTACAGCAATCACAGGACTATGTCTGGTCACATGGTTGATGACAGGGGCCTCCTTCAAAACGCAATCACCCTCATGACCCTCGGATGGAGTCTCAAGCCTTTGCAAGACTTTACCGCAATGTGTCATGACTTCAAATTGAAACATCTCACGGGGACTACTACAGTTTATTTTGCTGGAGAGGGCCGTAATGACCCGTATGGAAATGTCTGGTACGCTGGGAGAAACATGGCCATTCCAAGTCACCGTCGTTAACAAACTTAGGCAATCAGTATCCAAGGCCATCCGCAAGCTCGATACTATCGACATGGATGAGCAGGTGAAATTGGACATTGTTCGAGATGCCGAGTACTATTACAGTGACGAGTCGTAAGTAGAATATCCCGCGCTGCAAATGCTGCTGTGGAAAGTTTCTTTCTATCTCTCTAAAGGGAGTGTATGTTTACAATATTCCAGACGCGCCTTTTTCGCCGACTGCGGTATCCCCTACCGACGCGGCTATCTTTTCTACGGTCCTCCTGGCACTGGCAAAAGCTCCTTCAGCGCCGCACTAGCTGGCCATCTCCGATGCGACATTTACCACATCAATCTCGCAAACGGGAGCATCAGCGACGGCGTCCTGCACCGACTCTTCCTCGGCCTCCCCCGCAAATGCATAGTGGTCATCGAGGACATTGATTCCGCCGGTATTGGCCGCGAACACACATCATGGGAAACACAGAACGCCGAATCACTCGACCACTCAGGTAAACCAATTTCTTCCGACGAGCTGAAACCAAACAGAACAAAGTTCTCAGCAATCACACGTCGCAACATGGTCACCTTGAGCGGGCTTCTGAATGCCATCGACGGCAATGCGTCGCAAGAGGGAAGACTCCTCATCATGACTTCCAATGATCCCGACGCCCTTGATGCCGCTCTCACACGCCCCGGCCGCATCGACAAGAAAGTCTACTTTGGCAACATGAGCAAGAGCGCCGGCAAGAGCATCTTCAAGCGCCTAATCGGCCGCTCAGCCATGGCCCACGACTCGGCCTTTACCGTCGCGCAAATCGACCAGTGGGCAACGGAATTCGCGGAAAAAGTTCCACCTAATACCTGTAAGTTACTCCGCAATCATCAAATTTCCTTTTTTTTTCAGCAATACTAACGTGTTCAACCAGTCTCGCCAGCACAAGTCCAGAATTTCCTCCAGGCTTGTCGCGGCGACCCGATCAAAGCTCTAGACGACATTGAGGCTTGGGTTGCAGAAAATAGAGCCTCTCGCTGTACTGATTTCCCGCCTAATCAAGCCGAGGATTCAGAGGCGGATAGCGAGAAGTATCCTGAGCGAGGTGGTGGTGGTGTGGAGTAGAGATGCATAGAGACGAAGTGTATCGTTAATCTATTGGCAAATCTTCACTGTACAATTTGTAGAAGCACTCTCAAAGACGAGGTTAATACATGGCTTGAGTAATACAAGATATTCCCATTCCAGTCAGCCAATTCATACATAGTCAGTGAGGAAGAAAAAAAAAGGCAAAGAGACTTGGATATTTTTTTCACTCAAGACTCGAATATCAGCAAAACTCCGTAGCACAAGTAGCACAAACAATAGACAAAGTATACACATATATTTGCATTAACTATGTTGAATTTCTCGCTTTATTATTCCTTCGTTTCATATGTATCTACATATCTTCATAAGGGAGTGTGTGTGTGTGTGTGTGTGTATGTAAGTCATGACGTCGTCAACATCTCTTCCTCAAACCCATACCCGCATCCAAGCCATTACCATGAATACAATCCTAATAAAACCACTTCCCCTTCTATTCTTCTTCTTCTTCTTCTTCTTCATTTTTCATTTTTCATCATCAAAAGAAAAAAAAGAAAACAAGAAACTTGACTTCCCCGACAGGACGAGTACGCGGTATCTAGCACTGGCGGACATACATACCAATGGGACTAGGATTGTAGTCCTGGAAGTAATCCAGGGCAAAGTCGCCGGTGCTGCACATCTCGAAGGCGATGCGCTGGCCGGCGGGGCAATCGAAGGTAGCGACGCTCCAGGCGCCGCCGGGCGCCACGCTGAGGGAAACGGCGTCGCCGGACTTGGCGGGCTGGTTGTTCCACGTGGTCTGCTCGGTGGCGTAGTCCTTGAGGGCGGTGACGGTGCATTGGCCGGTGCCCGAGAGGGTGTAGTCAGAGGTCTCGAGGTCTTTCTTTTGCGGGAGCAGGAAGATGGCGGTGCACTTTTTGCCGGCGTACGAGTAGGGAATGTCGAAGTTGAAGATGCTGCAGGTGTGGCTGTCGACTTTGCCGTTGTATGATGTCCCATATGCTTTGTCGGGCTGTGAGGAGTCGACGGGGACAATCAGGTGTGGGTACTGGTAGTTGCCGTTGAGGTCCGCCGGGCATGTGTCGCTGGCTGGGGGCGAGGGTTCGGGCTTAGTTGGAGGAGGAGATGGGGGTGGAGTGGGCTTGGGGATCTGGGAGGTTGTGGTTTCGGTCTTGGTGATGGTGGTGACGGGGGGGCAGGGCGTCTCGGCAGGTGGAGGTGTGGGTGTAGGCTTGGGGGCTTCGCCGCCTCCAGAGCCGCAGGAGCCAGCGGAGCCGAGAGAGATCTTGACGCACTTGTCCTGGCCTGCGACGGGTTCCGAGTAGACGTTGTAGACGCCGTTGTCGTTGACGGGGCAGGCGTAGAATGTGGCGTCGCCCTTGTATGTGACGCTGCCATCGGAGCCAACGGCGAATCCGGTCGTGGGAGAAGCACCCACATCGCACTGGAACTGGGTGGTGGGTGGTGTCAAGATGCAGCCTCTTCCGTTGGAATCAGTGAAGCCGCCATCGCTGAGGCAGTAGCATCCATTGGGCAAGTGGTCACCAACGCGGTTCTGGCCGTCACCGAGTTGGCCAAGGATGCCTTGAGCGCCACCAGATGCCTTGAGCTGGAAGCATTGTGTGTTTCCGCGAGCAACGAGGGCATTGGCACCAAGGCCGAATGCGAGGGGAGCGAGTGCGTATCTCATATTAACGATTGTGTAGGGCTATTATACTATTGATTAAAGTTACTGCTGTCGAAAGTGTCTACCAGAGGGGAGAATCCAAAGGATTCTTATACCTGTACACGGCTCGGGTGACATGACTTGGCCTACCCACTCAAGTGGGTTGCTCCCAGTGGTACGGCTCTCGAGACCCTGGCTAAGATCCCAAAGCGTATCGACCATTTACCAACTCGTCATATCGAAAAACGTGATATTAGAATGTACTAGCCTGTACACGCATTTGTGGGGACAGCTCGTATTCCCGGTTACAAGGATCCCGTTAGTCGAGTGCGCTGGGCTGGGAACGTGGCTGGTGGCAGGAAACAGTAACATCGCATTCTCAAGTAACAGAAACAGCCATGATTGGTGGCTGGACGTAAATCAGTGCCTGGGGAGGCGTCGTGTTGTTCAATATGCGATGATCAGCCACCGCATTTTGTGGGGTATGATCCGCAGGAACATGTCTCTGGAGACTCCAACCCAGGGATCTGAACCAACTCGAGAACATTCCGTTCGCGAAGTTTAAACATAGTATGCCGCAAGCAACATGCCATATGCTTTGAGACATCAATACTCCAGAGACGGCCGCATTTCCATGGTTGAAGTTTGCGCTGCGAGCTCGAGGTTGGAGTACACAGCTAGGCGGAGTAAGCTCCGGCGGCAAAGTCGGAGTCGCTTACCTCTAGCAGTATGTCAAAACTATTGGCACTAGCATGTACTTGGTGCAGCAGACCACCACGTTTCTTAACATAGGAACAGCGTTGCCGAGCCTTCCGTCTGTCGAATCCTTGCATAATGACAGAAGAAGCATCTCAACCTGCATACCCGGGCTTGGAAAATTCTTAAAGCCATATGCGGGGTAAGGCGACAGCGACCGCAAGGTTTTGAACACCGCCACATGCGAGTAGTGTGTACTCTTCTGAGCCAGAGGCGACAAGAGAGCTGGGGTCCTAAGAGTGCGTTTACCTGACTATCGAATATCCAGTCGTCACCACTGGGGTTGGAGAGCGCATTCCAGTTCCCAATACTCGTGTTGCCTTCTCATGCTCGGCCCATCCAGCACGGCGCGTGGTGATGTCTAAACTTTGCACTTGTGATTTAGATTTGCCAGGAACGGGAGAGCAGGGGTTCTTGGTGGTGGCGTGAGGCTGGGCCGGTGCGGCACATTCCACCATTCGTGTCGAGGCGGTTGTTGTAGCAGCACCTCCGTTTCGGCGGACCTGGATAGTCGGAGACATTGATCGGAGACACCAGGCTAAGACTTTTTTGACAAATTTTACAGTGCCGTGTCTACCCAGGTTGTTAGCCAAATACTGTAGATGTATAATTAGCACAAAATAGTCGACCAGCGTAACCAGGGGTGACGGTCATCTTCCAACCACCGAAAGTGTATTTCTCTTTTCACGAGATCACATGCTGGAGGAAGAGTATGCACAGACATGCTTCAACAAACGTGTCTCCAGAGGTTGGTCATTTTTGCTCGTATCCGGCCCATTCTGACTATATTCTGAGTCGTCGCCGGCCCGCCGATCAATTCTAGTGGTAGGGCGATCAACCCGGTGGTTGGGGCGGTCTAGTTAGCGGTCAACAGCGAAGAGGTGGCGAACCCAGTAGCTCATCAGTCGTGGTCGTGCTTCCTTGGCTATCCGGTGTGAGGCTTTGTATGTTTAGTGTTGCTGGGCTGGCGAGACAACGCGAGTTGAGTAGGGTTAGAGTGAGGTCACGTTACGTCATGAGGTTTGCCCTAAACGGCCTTAGTCGATCGGATCAGGACATGCCGCTGAGCTGCCCTGCCGAAACCTTCCGTCGATCTCAGGGACGCTAGATCAATGTTGCATGCCCTCAGGAATAGACTGGCGAATGGGTAGGGGTAGGGTAGGGGTAGGGTTGGCTTATATAATACCTAGCCCTACCCCTACCCCTACCCACGCTAAGGTTCCTTGGCATGGGTAGGGGTAGGGTTGCCAAGACCTAGGTAGAGGTAGGGTTAGGTTAGCTAAGACCTAGGTAGAGGTAGGGTTAGATATATAACTATTAGGTTATACTTGTAACGATGTTACAACTTCGCCAAGTATTGAGCCAATCCCAGAGCCGGATCGGAG